AAGGTGAATAAAATTGAACATATCCAAGAAATTTCAACTGCAAAAAAACACAGCTTTGACATATATACATTAGTCAATAGAAGAGTTCTGTAATGAGCTTGTGGAAGCAATAAAATGAAGTGTTTGTGAGATTGGCCTTGATGCACATTTCACTCATCTTCTTGTCTTATGTTCTAGATGCTGATTACTTGTAGAAAGAAAATACTCTATTCTGTGCAACCCTTGCCTCCACTGCCAGGGCTGAGACATGCTTCATCTGTATGAACTCAGCCTGTGTGTGACCGAGTGTGTTCCAGGCTTTATCAATATCACTATACCACTAATATGGGGTGAACCTTTTGCAGAAGTTGTTGCTTTGACTTTGCTTAAACATGGAGAGATATCTGAGAATATAACCACTGCCAAAAAGCTTGACATTCTTGTATGGGTTTCTAAATTGTTTTATACCACTAAGGCTTCCAGTCTTCACTTTCTCCTCACACATGAAGTGATTACTGCTAACATTGTGTCCCCTATGCCAGGAAAAGATGGCATTCCAGATAAGGTTGGCAAAAGCAAGGTCTATACAAGTGTCCCTGTCTTCTCCTTTGTTCTCAGCAATTCTTGTTCAATCACTCAAGTTTTGCCATAAGTTTCAATGTGCATCTCTGGAAGGATGTCTGGCATTGAATAATTAATGCTAGATATATAGGAGTGTTGTAAATCAAGATAGGCAGGAACTTCCCATTTTCAAGCACGATGTACTGTGTTCCCCGTGTACACATTGGTGATTCAGATGCATGTGTGTAACATTGGGTGAGATATTTAAGCCAGTTTGTACCTCGTAATGATGCTTGTTCCACTAAGAGCTGTTATAATGTTTATAGCAGATGTTGCTGGCATGTCAAACTGTAATTGGCATTCCAGCTTCTGGATAAGCATTTGGTGTTAAGTTTAAACCAGTGAGAGTGAACTGCCTCAATATCTGATAATTTAGTTTCTTGAAAGAGTATGAATTCATAAAATTCAGAGAGTTTCATAAGGCAGTGTTTATCTCCCCTGATACCCCAGACACTGTAGTAATGTATGATAATGTGAGACTGGTAAAGTCTAGTATTTGCCATCTCTGTGTTTAGGCCTTGGTTTCTCTGTTCTTGTCTTCCTGATCACTCAAGATCCCATACTGAATGTTTAAACTATGTTGCTCCCACAGGTAAGACATACTTAATGCATCAAGATGTAAATGCTTACTAAAGGATGGTTTCCAAACATGACTTCTTAATAGCATCAAAATTGTGTGCAATTCTCTCTAAAGCATGCAGTAAAGTGAGCCAACAGCCTTCCACAAATTGAACAAAAACTTTTCTTCAAGTCCCAGTTTATCTTCCAACTTTGCAAAATTCTGTATTTTTTAACAGACAATTTAAAAAACAAAGTACATATCTATGGCTACCTCTTCACAATTTTTACCAAACACATCAAGTCCTTTTTGAAATGCCATGCAAACAGTATGGAGAGTGCAAAACCCTATATCAACCAGACCTCTGTTGTCTTTACCTAAAGGAATACTTAACAACTGTTCTAACAGAAGACTGGGTTCTGAAAACACCTTTTGGATTGAATTTATCACATTTTCTGTAAATATATGCTCAAACAGATGACTGAGGATATATAATTTACACATATTCTGCTGATTCTCTAGAGTAGCAAGCTAAAAGGTCCATTTGCAATTTTACTTCATGATTGGTGGTTTCATAAAAATGCTGAGTGTACTGTGTACTAAAGTCTGAACTGACTTACCAAACAATATGATAAAGAAGAGCCTAGTACTTCTCCAATAATGTGAGAAAGGTTAAAGCTTCCCATCTTGAAGTCTTTAACATTATTGTTATCGTGCATGATTCACAGAATAGGTCATTGATGTCATCACAAAAATAAAATGACTAATTTTCACAGGTATCTTTTAAGTTCCAGTATATTTCAGCTCTTAGACTCGTCCCTTTACGGATCATTACCACCAATTTGGGTTTTCTCATGGCTTGTACTGATGAGGTAAAAAGAGGCATATTTCCCAGTGAGAGGAAATGGCACTACTCTACAGTATTGATGGTTGAGATGAAAACTATGTTTTTGTTGGTACAAAAGTGTTCTTTTTTTTGAAAGAGACAAAGGCCTGCTTGGTTTGGCTGTCACTCCCAAATAGCTCCACACAACAATTGTTTCATACCAGCTGAAATGTTGTTTAAGTTGTGCAAATCATTGTCTTGCATAACCAAACTGCTCTTTGCTGTATAAATATTCAATGGTGTATGAGTTTTTCATGTTTGTCTTCATGGTGAATGCTACAAATAGTGACCTTTTCAAAACAGTCAAAGTAGCAACTAAGGCATCCTATGTTTACTCCACTGGGCAGTAATTCATTATCCTCAATTTAACATAAGTAGTAAACTTGATAATTACCAGGTTATGATGAAGTTTCAGACCCATGGTGCTTCTATTTTGTCAGGAATTGGTAACAAATTAGTGTTGAAACATGGCAAAGCTGACAGCATAAGTTAGAGGTGACCAGTGGAAACAAAAAAAAAACTGAGAAGCCAATTTATAAACTGCTTATTTTGCAAATGTAATGAAAAACATTCTTTTGTTTTCATAAAGCATATATAGATTTAAAACATATACTTCTTTATAGAAGAAATGAGGGGCCTGACATTACTTTTTATCTTTATCAAAATATCTTATTTTGTATATTTATTAGTAACTTCCATGAAATTTTAATTTTTTTAACAATTTTTAGTTTTGTTTTAATAGAAGAATTAATGATATAAATACATATTCCTTAAAACAACCCTAAAGAGAAATACAAAATATTATAACTTGTTTACCATGTTGAACTATGAAGAATTATGTGAACCCTTCTTCTTTCACAAAATGTTATAGAAGCCACTACAATAAGAATGGGTAATTTGAATTCAATGAGATCCAGGTGCATTGTTTTGATGCATCTGTTGCATGGTTTATTCAATTGCAATAACTAGATGAAATAGTTTGAAACAGATTATGTAGCTTCTGTAAATCAAATATCTTATTCTTATGTGACATTTGTATCTATTTTCACCTTTCAAATTTCAAAAATATTTCATTTAAAAAAAAGTTTTATATTATAAAACTGTAAATTTTATCTCTCTCTTTTGAATTTAAAAACAATGCACAAAGTTCCACTGTGTATACAATTGCTGGCATACAATAAAGATAACATTTGTACCATACAAAATTATAAGCAAGCCAAAGTTAATATTTTCTTACAATGAAAATGTATTTCTGATAAGTACTTACACAAAGCTATCTCAATCTTTTTTTCTACCCTCTAAGCACTGCTAAAAATTTTTCATGCTCAGTGCACCAGTCTATATACCCCATCAATTCCATGCCACTTTTGAACATGTACATATCATGTGACTATTCTGCATCAATAGTATTGTGCCACCAATACTGGTGCAGCTACCTCTCTCTGGTATTCTCGCTCAATCCTCACTTTCGAGAATTGGCAGGCTCTAAAAGAAGAACACTGGCAGTGGAGAGGAAGGGTGAAAAGTATGTGAGGTAAGTACCTGTCGGAAATACATTTTCGATGTAAGAAAATGTTAACTTCCAATATGGTTTTATTTCTTCTCACACAAAACAAGTTTAGGTGCACAACATTGAAACCAAGCAGAAAGCAACTGCCAAAATGCACAGGTGTATTCAATGAAAAATGAAGCACACTTGTGGTGTACCATACTATTTCTGGAACAGGCATGTTCTTCACCCTTGAAGTAGGAAATGAATCTGATACAGACAGAAAAAGTATGTGCACAAGTGCAATTTGTTTTAAGAGATGCAACCCATGGTGGAATATAAACCGAATTAGCTATGTACATACACAACCTCATTCAGATGGATAATGTTCCATAACTCATCCTTGGAATTAAATAAAAAAGATAAAAACAAATATATTGTAACATAAGCATTGTGGCTAGGGCATGTGGACCATGTTACATATACTCAACAACTCCAACCATAAGTAAACAGTGTGTCATACATCAAGCAACCGGAATTATGAAGAGGAAGTTAGCTTTTGGCTGAAACCGTACAAACTCCCAAAACCACTGTAGGAGCAAGAAGTACAGCAAACCAAACCCAGCATTACAGGGTTCTGGTATTGCCTAAACTCAACCGTAAAAACATGGTAATATCTGTAACTGCTATTATGAGCTTAAATTTCATAAACAGCTGAAAGTAAAAAAACAAACAAACAAGGACACAGGTAAGTATTATATTTCTTGTTTTTCTTGTATATTCTTTATTTATCATGAAAATAAAATAATAATTCTTCACAAGGTATGCTCGCGAGCAATTCATGAGTTATGTAATTGGATACAGTAACTTGAGCTATGTATTCACCAAGTTAAAGTAAAGAAAATAACAGATAAACTATAAAGTTTAGCCAAGAAAAAAGTATGATATCTATTTAGGATGTTTTAAAGGTTACACAGATGAAATTTGGATATTTTCAGATGAAGAAAAGTATTTTTAATATAAACATGACAATCACTTTGCACTCAGAGCAGTCAACACTTTGATTTCTTACATTCATGGAAAAATCTTTAGTAAAAACACCAAATTAAAAAATCTGGTTATTTGTGTAATGTTTACTGAAAGCTTGCCAAATTTTGTGAAGATATGTGTAGCACTTTAAAAGTTATAGTATGGAAACTCTGATAATTACTTTGGGGTCACGAGGTTGTTGGAATCCATCAACCCTGTAGTGAGAGGGTTAATGTGTGAAGAAGTGACTACAATTTTATTTTCTGTATTTATTTTAATTCTATAGTGCAATTTTGCCTTCAAGGCAGACTGCACACATCCAGTTATGAACAAGTTCATACAACATTATGGAATATCCATAAGTCCTCTATATCACAAGGTAAAAATAATTCCTACATCTTAAAATAATGTTGTCATTTCATCACTTTCCAGCATACCTGAATGATCATCTTGTGATACTGACAGCTTGTTTGTTGAACAGGTTTGTGTCTGGCAGGCTGGGGTTAAGGTATGTTCACATGTAAAATGTGAAGAATGTCCATCTCCATAACTCCACCCATGAGCTTCACCTAGTTGGATTCCAGAAGCAAACTGAGCTGAAATCATAGGTCAATTAACACAGTCAGTTTCCTGAAGTGGTCTGTAATCATATGTAAATAGAAACAAGGGCTGGTGCAATGAACTAATATCAAATGATATAATATAGAGAAATGAGCTATTGCAATATTACACTATTATACGTTTACACATAAAAACAATATTTCGTGCATTATCTAAAATCACACAAAAGCAAACATACTTGAATGCTTGTGGTGATCTGATGTCACATGCACAATACACAAATAATGTTATTTTTCATTACACAAAAATCATGTGCATTTGAAATTAAACAAATGTTAGTGCCTCGATTAAACATTTTTTCAGAAAAGTTGAGAGTATAATATTATCATATTTCAACAAACTTTGATAGGTGGAATAAATTCACCCTGAAGCTCCATCTCAAATAGTTATTTTTAGCTGTTCAAAGCTTGAAATTGCTCATTCATTGAATGTGCTGACAAACCCACAATCCATTACTTAAATTCTTGAGAAAACTGAATATACTAGATCTGATATTGTCATTTTTCTATAACACATAAGATTTTGTTGACAAAAGTAAAACCTTTAACATTTAGTTCTAACATTTCTTTATAAAATGCATGCATTCATATAATTAATGTGAAACACCAAATACACTACAGTAAAGAAGAAAAAAAAAAGGACAAAAAGGCTAGTGATCATAAATGTAAATGAAACATAACTAACTTGCATAAAAACATAAAAATCACCTTGCAGTCAAATGGCAAAACAATTAAACATTCTTAAGTAAATAGATTAGTAACCTTAGAATATTTTATATTTTTCTACTAAAATCATCTTACCAGGTGGTGCTGGAAGTGTTGTTACATCCATTAGGCTTGAGGAACTGTTTCCATTTCCAAGCTCATCAAATGTGTCAATAGCTTGTTCCTGTTTTGCCACAATATAATGGTATAAAACTAATATAAAAGCCATTTGTTTTTTTTTCTAAGATTAAAATATGTTTTGGACCTAAAAATGATTATACAATAAGTATAACATATTAATATTAACTTTTGATCAGAGCAAGCTCCATACTTAGACCAAAAATAAATATCTACCTGGTAATGAGTACATTCTTATAAATTTTTAGCCATAAACCCAATAGTATCTTTCAAGTTATTTAAAACTGTTATTGAAAGCAATATTAAAGAAAGAAGAGAGTATACTTATGTAGCATATGAACACTAACTGTTTGCTTTAAGTACTGTTGAACAACGTAGCAACACTATAATCAAGTAGCAGTATATCTTTACACAGTCCTCCCCAACAGTGTCTTGTGACCAATGAAAGACCATTAAATGTCTCTGATGATGTAACTTCAGAGTAGCCTAACATCTGAGTTACATTACTATGATGCATGTTGCTGTTTAGCTATGGAGTTGAGTAGTAGGTCAGTATTGATAGTATAGCAAAAAACTATTGTTTATGAAGATTCAAATTAATAAATAAATAAAAAATATGAAATGATGTAACATAGTTCATTCAGCCTTTAGTGGAGATTAGTTTCCAAAAGACAATTTCTAACGATCCAAGAAAACGTTTGTATGAAGTGAATGAAACACACAAATAATCTAATGACCTAGTAACAAAGGTAGAGACTACTTCTCAATGCAAAATTAAAACTGGTGTTTATGACAATTGAGCTAACATTCTGATCAAAATAATTTTAAATAAGATATACTTTAATGAAAACAATTCAGTAATTCTAATTAACCATGATGTACTGAGTGCATTAAACTTGCTTTTAGATATTCAACAAACAATGATTATAATCCTGTATATACCATAATACATATAACACACAACAGCATAGGAATAAAAACTTATGATGATTATGTTGCACTGAACCACCTATTGGGCACTTTTGCTACTGTCACAATTTTTTATTCTAATCTCTGATATTTCACTATCTTACAAGATCTAGGAAAGGACTGTGTACATTTATACATTAAGCTAACAGTACACATTACTTTTTTTATTTTAAAAAGAACAAACTATGAAGTTTAAGTATGCAAAAGTACTTTAGTGATTTAACCAAAGAGCTATTATTTCTATCTGTAAAGTTAATAAATACATTAGTCTTTTCTCACATGAACCTTAAAATAATAAACAGACAGTGAAGCATAATAAGGAAAGCAACAAAGAGGATTCTTGTGACTGACAATGTTTTATACTTCATGCAAAGGTCAATCAAACACTTCTGTTGACCAATTATGCTATAACTTCACTCAGATAACAAAGCTTAATGGACTACATTATGTTAGTTGTTTAGTCATAGAGTCAGTCAAGAAGCAACAGGATGCAAAGCTTTTAACATTTGCAAAAAATAATACAGGCCAGTGTGTGTGTGTGTGTGTGTGTGTGTGTGTGTGTGTGTGTGTGTGTGTGTGTGTGTGTGTAT